TGTGTATATGTCCTGGGCACACATGTGGAGGTTTATGTGTGTGTGTGACTGTGTATATGTCCTGGGCACACATGTGGAGGTCTAGGGCAGCACGCAGGAGCTACTCCCGCCTTCCACCTTTGTGTGGGTTTTGACATGTTCTAATGGCTCACGTCATGAACTGCTTTCCCTGTTGTTAAGGGTCTGTGGATACCTAAGACCACAGCTGGTGTATAGCAATTCTGTAAATGTTATTTTTTGGTTGTTTCCAGTTAAGTGTTGTACTAAAACAATAGACAGTAAACATCCATGAATTACTTTCTTAAATTGAATACCTAAAATCATACTGGTACGATCAAACTGCCCTTTGAATATGTCGGAAAATCCAGTTAACACAATGAATATTTTCATCATCAGTACAAGAAGAAATTAGATATCCTGATGATGAATATCAAACTTACCCCAAGGAACTCAATGCCCCAAATCATCAGGAAGTAGTCTAATAATAATGTCCTCCCCTTTCCAACCTGACTTTATTCAGGGATCGCTTTCCTTTCCTCTCTATCCTTTTTTTTTTCCTCTTATCTGGAATTAGGGGTTTGAAAGGGTGGAAGAAAGAACCCACAAAGTAGCCAAAGACACCTATAGACACTAGTTCAGAGAACCAAGGGTTTTGTTAACCTAGCTCTCAAGTTTCATTTATTGTTCGCTGCAGTGTGTCTTTTAAAGATACCCTGAAGCACTAACCTCAATTCTTGTGAATGTGACCTTGTATGCAAATATAATCAAGTCAAGCTGAAATTAACTGCATTGGGGAGTGGGATCAGGCTCAATGACTGCTATTCTTACAGACAATAGACACAAGGGAGAAGGCCAGGTTGCCTTCGGGCAACACCAAGACTACTAGAAACCACAAGTCAGGAAGAATCCAGGAAGGGTTGTTTTCTGAAGCTTTCTGCGGGAACACAACCTGCCTGTACCGTCATTTCACACCTCTAGTCTCCAGAACTGTGCGAGATCAACTTGAACCTGAAGCTGCCTAACTGTAAGCCTTTCTATTCAGCTGTAGGAAACGAATGTGGATCCCAAGCAGGAAGAATGCAGAGAGGGCAGACTCCATGGGGCTGTGCGAGATTGTTGACTTTGCTTAGTGAAAGGGAACTCACTTGTGCTTGACTCATGTCCTTTGTCTTTTCTATCAGTTTTTGCCATTCCTGGTGATTTTGAGTTTTGTAAATATTCTACCCACGCATCTATATAAGTGTAGATACGTACAGTCATTAATCTTCATTAATAATTATTTCTCCTTCCTTGTTTTTTTTTAAATTTAGATTATTTATTACTTTATGTGTGTTTTGCCTGCATGTATGTCTGCAACATGTGTGTGCCTGGTGCTGTCAGAGGCCATAGAGGGCATCAGATTCCCTGGGACTGGGACTAAAAGACAGCTGTGAGCTACCATGTTGGTGCTGGGAACTGAGCAGCAACCAGCAAGAGCAACAAGTGCTTTTAATTGTGGAGCCGTCTCTCCAGTCCCTAGCCTGGTTTTTAATAATTTATTGGTTCCATGTTTCACAGATACAGGTTATCTTCCCAACTACGAGGAATTTAACACATAGCAGATTTTTTTTTTTCAAGACAAGAGTTTCCTGGTGTAGCCCTGGCTGTCCTAAAACTAGTTCTGCAGAGGAGGCTGACCTCAAAGTGAAGAAATCTGCCTGCCTCTGCCTCCTGAGCGTTAGGGTTAAAGCTGGATGGCTCCACACCCACCCAAGATTCTTAGTAAATCTATAAGCAACCTTATTCATATTTGTAAAATCTGAGAACCACTCAAGTGTCTTTACTGAAACATAGCAACAGGATGAATCTCAAATGCATATATTCATTTAAAAAGTTTATGCTGATCCAGGAATGGTAACATATGTCTTTAATCTCAGCACTCAGGTTGCCAAAGCAGGTAGATCTCTTAAGCTCAAGGTCAGCCTAGTCTAAAAACTGAGCTCCATGAAAGCCAAGGCTACATAGGGGGAACCTGTTTCAAACAGAAAAGGAAGAAAGAAAAAGAAAGCCAAAGCCAAGAAACCATCTATTTTATTGACCGACACCCAGGAAATGGCAAAACTACAGAGAGAGAGAACAAATCAGCAGCAGCTGCAGGTACTTGAGACATACGAAATGCATATCAAAGGGACGTGGGGACAGTTTTAGACAGGAAATAATCTCCACAGGAAATTGTCTACACTTTGACAACAGGTATGGCTGCACTCCTGAAGGTATTTCTAAAAAATCATAGAACTATCTCCTAAAAGGGTAAAAGTTATCATATGTAATTTCAAAAAACTTGATTAAAAAAACCCTACGATTTTAGGGTCATCGTGTTTAAACCCAAGTAAATTGCTCATACCTCATAGACAAACGGGTCTTTACAGACTCCTTTCTTTTCTTCATTAAATTCCCTGAAATGCAGAACCAAGTGTGAAAAACAGAGCTGCAGGATCTCCCTTATTATTGGAACTCAGAGACCAGCTAGTACTTTTATTTACATATCAGTGGAGAAAGCTTAGCCCTTACCACACTAAGGACCGCACCAAGGACCGGCCACAGAAAGGAAAACAATTAGATTAAGGAAAGATAAAGGAGTGTGGGCATGGAGGGTGGGGGTGGGGGACGCTGTGATCCCAGCAAAAGCAGGAAGATCTGAGTTCCAGGCTAGCCAGGGATACATAGTGACACGCTGCCTCAGAACAATTCTGGGGGAGGTTATCTAGAGAGATGGCTCAGGGTTAAAGCACTGTTGCTCCTGCAGAGGACCTGAGTTCAGATCCCAGCACCCACATGATGGCTTATAACCTTACCTCTAACACTCCAGTTCCGTGGTATCTGACGTGGTTTCTGACTTCTGCAGGCACCAGGCATGAACCAGCCCACGTGCAAACACGCAGGCAAAACATACACATTAAATAAATATAAACAAATGTTTTTGATTATGTGTGTGTGTATACATGTAAGGGTCGTGCGTAATGAATGTGTAAGTGCAAGTAAGTACCCAAGAGGGCACTGCTCTGGAGCTGGAGTTACAGGTGACTATGACGCCCGTTGTGGGCTCTGGCAACCAAGTTCTGGTCCTCTGGAAGATCAGTAAGTGCTCTTAGCACCTGAGCCATCCTTCAGAGTCATTAATTTAAAAACAAACAAAAATAAAAATGCAAAAATCTACTAGAGATGGAATACACCTCCAAATCAACATCTGAGATGCTGAAGGAGGAATCTGACAAGCTCCAGGGCAACTCGGGCTGTGCCATTGGGAACCTGTTCAAAAAACAAAACTAAAAAGATAAAAGCCTCTAGTATAAATTTAAGTATCATTTAAAAAAGCTTTTAGCCAGGGAGTGGCAGTGTAAGCCTTTTAATTCCAGCACTTGGGAGGCAGAGACAGACAGATCTCAGTGAGTTTGAGGCCAGCCTGATTTACAGAGTTCCAGTGAGGGCTAAAAAGGGAAACCCTGTCTTGAAGAGAAAAAAAAAAAAGTTTTGGACTTTTTTTAAAGAGAGGGGAGGGAGGAGAGATTTGCTATTTTAACTAGAGGGGTTGGGCTGAGCATGTAACCTCAGAGGCGAGAAGGGAACACAGCTGAGCCCGTCAATGTGTGTTCGTTCTGGCAACCCTCTGGGGTGATTCTGATGTGATTCACTGACTTAGCTTTTCACAGAGGATGCAGAAAGTGACAAAATCCTCTTGCAGCAACATTTCACTAAGGGGAGAACTGTGGCATGGCTATCGCCTCTAACCTCAGCATCAGGAGGCTCGATTCTGTACGTTTCATAGGAGTCAAAGCTTGAGGCCGGATGACATCTAGCCCTCTGTATCCCAGGAGCCTCTCCTTAGAAGCGTGTACATCAGCAGGATGCTTAAACTGACCTGTCATCCCGCCTCCCATGGGTAAGTACTGATGTTTTTCTGTAGCCTAGGCCTCCTCAGGGTCCAACCCACTGCACAGCAGAGACCTGCCTCACATAGCCCAGATCAGGAGAGCCGGCAGGGGCAGAAGCTTCAGCTGTGGCAAACGGCACCAGCGAAAATACAGCGAAGTACCCCGGAGGGGCAAGGGCCATCCCATTCCCCAACCACAACTCACTGCAGAAGACGAGCATAAAACTCCTCAGCCGCGCGGTTCATACGCGCCCACATCCCGCCGTGGCACGGGTCCATTGCGGAGAAGCTAAACTGAACTGCGCGCCCGGACGCTGACGTCAGAGGCCATGACCCCGCCCCGCCGGAACTATTTCACACCTTAAGTTCTGTGTGTACTCAATGCTAACACGTTGTTTTAATTTAGTAGAACGTCCCTTCAATTTACTATCCCAAAAGCATCCCGTTCCTGCTGGGGGGGGAAAATGGATTAAAAGAGATGTTATGATGGAGGGGTGGGCGGGATGAGGCGAGAAGACAATCCTCGCGAGAGTTGTGACGAGTTACGAATCACTCCGCGAAAAGGAGTTCCTCTTTTCCGATCACTGTTTTTAACTTTAAAAAAGAACGTATACGTAATTTAAACACACTTCACATGATAATATCCCGTTCTGAAATTTTTCGGTGTGGCAAAGAGAGAGAGCTTGTGTCTCTAAGTTGTTTTCCATAAGGGGGCGGGATGCGGGAGACGAGTGGAAGGATATATAGAGTATGAGTGATAAGTCTTTCCTTTTCCTGTCGGAGCAGCCGGGTAGAGAGGAGCGTGGCTTTCTCCTCTCCCCGTCATGGTGAGTGGAGGTCTTCTACCCTGGACTTCTCCCTGGTTTCTGTGCCCTATGGAGGAGGGTGAAAGCTCAGGACGTGGGATCTGTAGCGAGGAGACGAGGGAAAGGGCATCTAGCAGCTTTTCTGGCCGGAGCTGAGTTGTGGGCGCTGCGGCAGCCATCTTAGAGGCAACGTGGGCAGCAGCGCAGGGCGGATGGCAGAGGAACTTTCGGGATCATCGCGTTCTTTACTTCTACGGAAACAAGGCTCCTGGAAGCCGAGCTCTTGGGTGCCCGAGACTTGTCAGGGGTTCGGGGTCGTCCGATGACAACTCGGCCCAGGCAGGCCTTGGCGGGTCATGTGCTTTCGGTCCAGTGAATTTGTATATGCATCTTCAAAGGAAAGGGCTAGAAGGAAATCTGTATTCATGCTTTACAGAAAGATTGGCTATACCTCTTTGGAATAGTTTCTGGAAAAATAGGTTTTTGTTACTTTATTGATGTAATCTAGACTTTTGAACCTCAAGACAGTTCACAGGATGTAGTATGTTGTTTTTCCACAAATCTTGATCTGTCTTTTACATAGTAGATGGGTTAAGATTTGTCTGACCACAGTAGGTTAGGATTTGGAGACAGGTCTGAGATTCATCGTTAAAAATTGACTAGCTAGGTGTTCCTATTGGTGTAATAACTGTAAGGGAGAAGTGGTAGAAAAAGAGATGGTCTGGAATCTGGAAGAACACGTGGGAGATAGGGCACAGATCAGTGCGGGTGGTATCCTCAGGTAAGAAAGAGTCTTTGCAGAGTTGAACTATCAAAACGTTTCTGAGTTTGAGAAGGGGTCTGAAGACTTTGACAACTGAGGTTTGGTGAAGTTGCTGAGGGTAGAGTTTAATGGTCTCATTGAATAGTGTCTTCAAACATTGTTTTTATTGTTTTACATTTGTCTTTAAAATTGTCAGATTTTTAAGGTTGTGGGTATTCTTTCTCTGTAAAGCTGTTGAAATTGTAAATATATTCGCTGGTGTTTTAATTTGTGTTTCTTGAATTTGGGGTCTCCTGCAAGGCCATACTGACCTCAGTCTGCTTCCACAGAGTGGCATGTATAACCTCAGCCAATGGCTCAGTCTTGTGATTGTTACATATTTGTCAACATAAATCAATCTCTTGTCATTTAGTGATAGGAAGAGTTTGCCACCAGTGTTGTCAATATAAGTACTCTTTTGGTCTTTCTCAAGTCAGCCCATGAATACAACATGATGTGGTTCTATTGCCATTTTCTGTATTTCGTGTGCTGGTTCTTGAACACACTGTTAATAACTGCCTTTCTGGTCCCCAGTTCTCCAGATAGTTCTATATCTGTTTTCAAGTATTAAGGATGTGGGCTTTAAAATCTAGGCTTCAAATGCAGGAGATGGTACTTTCTCTGTTTCAGTTACGTTTTTCATTTCTTCCCAGGCTTGTGCCCGTCCCCTCATATCGGTGTACTCTGAAAAGGGGGAGTCATCTGGCAAGAATGTCACTTTGCCAGCTGTGTTCAAAGCTCCCATTCGACCGGATATTGTGAACTTCGTTCACACCAACTTAAGGAAAAACAACCGACAGCCCTATGCCGTCAGTGAATTAGCAGGTATGGATTTACAGTCATCGCGAGTATATACTTTGAGGGCTTCTTTGCAGTAAATGATGAGATTCCATTGGTCCGTGTTTCTGAACTACATGATTTTCCTTGGCTATTCTGATGCTGCCTATCATGCATATGTTTTAAGTCATGGGTTTGGTGTGAGTTAGTACCTAAACTGTTTGTCTTTGCCAATTTTAGGTCATCAGACCAGTGCTGAGTCTTGGGGTACTGGCCGGGCCGTGGCTCGAATTCCCAGAGTTCGAGGTGGCGGGACCCACCGTTCTGGCCAGGGTGCCTTTGGAAATGTATCCTTTATTAGGGTTCTTGGCAATTGAACAAGTGGACTTAAGGCTTGTATTAATACTAGTTAATATTTGAATCATGTTTAAAACTACTAGTATGTCCAGTAAACATCTCTAGACAATATGGAACTGTTAGGGGGTGCTTGCAGTGATGTCGTAATTTGCGTCTTACTCTGTTCACAGCGACAGTTGCCTGCTGTCAGTAAGCTGGTTCAGAAGGTTGACGAATATTGTTACTGAGCAAGTAATAACCTTGTTAATTTTTAAATTTGAAAAAAAGTTAATTCTTGACAAAGAAAACAGATGTGTCGTGGGGGCCGCATGTTTGCACCAACCAAAACCTGGCGGCGTTGGCACCGCAGAGTGAACACAACCCAAAAACGATATGCCATCTGTTCTGCCCTGGCTGCCTCGGCCTTACCAGCTTTGGTGATGTCTAAAGGTCTGATGCTTTGACATTTAGTTTAACTGCACCTAAGTAAATTGCTTCTGTGAATTGTATCTATGTCTGTCTCCTAGAGCCATTTCTGCACACATCAATATAGTAAGCCTTTGATTGTAGTGCCTGTCAACTTCTTACCGTGTTTTTACTTGTCAAAATGATGAAATTCCACTTAATGGTCCGTGTTTCTGAAACACATGATATTAGTGGAGATTCTGATCTGACGAAGATTTCGTGATGTTTCATTTTGGGGTGAGGGGTAAACAGTTGAGACTTCTGCCCCTGGAAGCAGAGACAGTGACTCTAGAGTTCTGGCACAGTGTCTCCAGGGAGAGAGGTGAGACTTGGCTGTTAAATGTTACATTGGTTTTGTTAGGTCATCGTATTGAGGAAGTTCCTGAACTGCCTTTGGTGGTTGAAGATAAAGTTGAAGGTTACAAGAAGACCAAGGAGGCTGTTCAGCTGCTTAAGAAACTTAAAGCTTGGAATGACATCAAAAAGGTAGGTTCACCATACACACTGAGGTCTGATCTTCCATACTGTTGTCAGATTTGGATTCAAAGGATTAGTTGAGGTTTAATGGGAGAGTGGGCTAAAGTTTTTATTGAATATTGATTGTAGAAAACTTTCAAAGATCCAAAGATAGGGGTTTGTTGGGTTAACCAAGTACTCTATAGATAACCTATCTCTAATGTAGATGTGTTTTGTGGTACTTAGATTAAGGAAGGTGTGTACTGTAAGTATTCGTTTGTGTACGTCTAAAAAGACAGCATGGGAGGAGTCTTATTTTTGCTGCCAATTTTTTTTTCTTACAGAAAGGGCTTGATCTGCTTGCAGTGATGTTGTAATTTGCGTCTTACTCTGTTTTCAGTGACAGTTGCCTGCTGTCAGTAAACTGAATCAGAAGGTTGACGAAAATTATTGCTGAGCAACTCATAGCTTTAGTTACCTGGGATTTGAGATGTGAAATAGTAACAATAAGTTGTGAATTTCAGGGACCAAATAGCATCAGATGTGGCTGAAAGTTCCTTTTTCTGTTGAGACATTTTTGTTTTACTAAGATTGAAGATATGGAAATCTTATCTTGATGAGTGATACTAAAGCTCCTCACTCTATAGGTCTATGCCTCTCAGAGAATGAGAGCTGGCAAGGGCAAAATGAGAAACCGACGGCGGATCCAGCGCAGGGGACCCTGCATCATCTATAACGAAGATAATGGTATCATCAAGGCCTTCAGAAACATCCCTGGTAAATTCTTACACATGTTTTAACTGCCTTTTCTGTGCAAGCTCACTCAGCTGTGGTTATGATGAAATTCCACTTCATGGTCCGTGTTTCTGAAATCACATGATTTTGTGGAAGCTCTGATTCCTGTATGAGTGAGTTCCATCCTCCCTGCTGGCCTGAGCTCTTCCGTGCCCTGGGTAGCTCAGTGAACCACAGGAACTGTATTTCTCCTGCTGAGTGAATAGAGGCTTGCTCATTCTTCTTTCCCCTTCAAGGTATTACTCTCCTCAATGTAAACAAGCTGAACATTCTGAGACTTGCTCCTGGTGGGCATGTGGGGCGCTTCTGCATTTGGACTGAAAGTGCTTTCCGGAAGTTGGATGAGCTGTATGGCACTTGGCGTAAGGCTGCTTCCCTCAAGAGTAACTATAAGTGAGTTTCCCCATATTTATTGCTCATCAGTAACTGGTGTGTACATTTATGTTCTCCTTAGGGTCTGCATTAGGTTTTGGTGTATATTTTCCATTGTTTGGAGTAATGTCTCACCTGTGATTATTAAATGAAAATGTGAAGGTTTATTCTGTATCTGGAGAGTCAAGAAAAATTTAAATTAGTTTTTAATGCTTTATGTTCATTTAAAAAGTGAAAGGGACATCTCTTACAGGATTGTTTGGTTTTTGTTTTCCCCAGCCTTCCCATGCACAAGATGATGAACACAGACCTTAGCAGAATCTTGAAAAGCCCAGAGATCCAAAGAGCTCTCCGAGCACCACGGTAAAGTTTTGAAACTTGAATATAACTTCATACAACCTCTCTTGACTTTTAAAGGGATACATGTTAATTAATGAATGCTACCTCTTGACAGTAAGAAGATTCATCGTAGAGTCTTGAAGAAGAATCCACTGAAGAATCTGAGAATCATGTTGAAGCTGAACCCTTACGCAAAGACTATGCGCAGGAATACCATTCTTCGCCAGGCCAGAAATGTGAGTCAGCTATGCCAATTTTTCTTACAAGATTTGATTGCTCCCTCTCCTAAGACAGGAACTCACTATGAAGACCAGGCTGCCCTCCTACAGACAGATCCACTTCTACCTCCCCAAGTACTGGGTTAAGGATGTGAACCACTACGCTCCATTGAATAAGTGGTTTCTTAATTTCCTACTGGTTTTTGTTGCAGCACAAACTTCGGGTGAAAAAACTGGAAGCGGCAGCTGCTGCCCAGGCAGCTAAACCCGAGAAGGTGGTAGCAGAGAAGAAGCCTGCAGCAGACAAGAAAGGAAAGAAGCCGGTGGATGCCAAGAAACCGAAGAAGCCTGCAGGGAAAAAGGTGGTTACCAAGAAACCAGCAGAGAAGAAACCTACCACAGAAGAAAAAAAGCCTGCTGCATAAACTATTAAAATCTGTTAAATCCCAGAGAGCAAACAGAGACAGCCTATTTGAATAAATCAAAGATACAGTGAGAAACCGTTGTGTGAGTCTTGATTGTGGTGTTTCCCAGCTCTTTTAAATTAACCTTTGTCAGAATGAGTGGGACGATGTGGGGTTTCATGGTGGAACTTAGGTCATTAGGACTTCAGAACAAAATAATAAAATTTCATTCTCTAGGCTGATTTGCTGCACATGGTAGTCTGCTATAAAATGAATTTGGAATAGCCTAACTTACAATGAAATCTATTAATATTTGGTATCAATGTGTTGGACAGGAGAAACAAGTCAGGACCAGCTAGGGGCCAAATCCTATGTATGAGTACTGTGTAATTACAGTAACCACTAGAGGGCGTGATGGTAAAAGGGAACGTCGGTGTGCCTACCACAGTTATGGCTGCTGTGTCCACGGTGGGGCGGTGCTTACATGGTATTTACAAATAAATCTGCTCATCCTAGAATTGCCTTCATTTCCTGTTACCTTGATTTGGTCGAAATTACTAGCAGATGAATGTGGGTAGAGAAATACTTCTCTACCGGAAATGAGGAGTTCCTTAAGCTTAGTAGCATTCCTGTCCCAACTAAGCTTAAGTATTTGGTGGGATTACTGGTTCCTGCCTGCAAAAGTGTATACTCTGCCTTTGCAGAGTGTAAAGTCACTTGGAAAAGCACGTTAAAAGTGCTGAGATGGCTCAGCGGTTAAGAGCACTGACTGCTCTTCCAGAGGTCCTGAGTTCAAATCCCAGCAACCACATGGTGGCTCACAACCATCTGTAATGAGATTGGATGCCCTATTCTGGTGTGTCCGAAGACAGCGACAGTGTACTCATAAATAAATAAATCTTTAAAAAAAAAAAAAGTGCTAAGATGAATGAGTGCTGTTCTGAAGCCTGTGAAACGAGTTAACCAGGTTTTACTGAGAGATTACTGAAGAATCTCCACACTTTTGGGGATTGCACTTTGTCTTCAGATTCTTGGTAGCAAACGCTGTAAGAAAACCAGCAGGCGGGGCCTCGCTGATTTCGGTAGTGGAAGTGACGTCATCACCACGCGCCCGGCAGAAAGCAGCGCCCTAAGAAGGTGGAAGGGGATGTTGAGTCGGCTGCAGGAGCTCCGCAAGGAGGAGGAGACCCTGCTGCGTCTGAAGGCGGCCCTGCACGACCAGCTGAACCGCCTCAAGGTGAGCGTGCAGCCCTCCAGTTCTAGCCCCTCGTGAGCGTCTGGCGAGCGCGGCGATAGAGCTCGGTCCGCTAGGTGTTGAGCAGGTTTAGCTTCCGAGCCCACATCCACCCCAGCCCGGCCCGCCGGCTCACGCTGCAGCTGCTGGTTAATACTGTTTAAATGCTACCAGGAAGGGTTCAATGTTGTCGAGCTTGTGTTAACTCTTAGATCCGCCTGCGGTGCGAATGAGGACTGGGAAAGAAACTTGTCCCATAGCGTTCCCAGGAACCCTCCTGGGAACCGACTCGAATGCAGATTTAGGTCCACCTTGATCACGTCCTAGACATAGGGGTAGTTTGGCCCCTGTGAAATGATCATGGTAAGCCCTGCTCAGCAAGATCTTTAAATGTAAGTGACACGAGGATTACTGGAGCCCTTTATACACTGAACTTGTATACTTGTATAGAAAACGATATGCAGCTTTTCTCGGGGCGTTTATAACGGCACAAACTTATTACAACAGTACCTCTTACAAGCACCTAATGATTGTGTGTTGAAGATGACCTCCCAAAGGCAGGTACCCTGGTGCTCCAGGAAGCACGGGCATTTTTTTATCCTCTGCTTTTCACTTTCTCATTAATTGAGTAGACAGGCTCAAGCTTGGGACATCCGTCTGTGTCTGTGGAACCAGCTGTCTCCTGGGGTGAGGGTAAGGGAGGGGGAGAAGTAGTCTCCCCTGTGTAACACAGACATTCGTTGAACCTAATGTGTAGCTCAGCTTAGCTTTAAACTTATGATCCCCTTGCCTTCTACATTTCTAACCTCCGCATAGTGGCACATGCCTTTAATCCCAGCACTTCAGAGGCAGAGGCAGGTAGATATCTGTAAACTCAAGACCAACTTGATCTACTTATCAAGGTGTAGGATAGCCAGCGTTACAAAGTAAGACCCCGTCTTGGGGAAAGAAAAAAGCCAGAAGGTCAAGCTCCCCATGCCCTTCTAAAGCAGTTCAGGGATTATAAGCAGTTCTTTCTCATGATGCTAACCAACACTGTATCTAGTGGAATTTACTCTATACGGTAGCCCAGCCGAGTACTCAGTGAAATGTCTTTGACTTTTCTTTCCTAGGTTGAAGAGTTGGCCCTTCAATCAATGATAAGTTCTCGAGGAAGGACTGAGACACTGTCTTCTCAGCCAGCACCTGAACAGTTATGTGATGTAAGTTTAGTCAAGTACAGACTTCCAGATAGAATGTAGACCCATTGTGCCCTAGCTCCTTGGGCAAGCAAATGCTGTATGGCACATTTTATTACCAAATCCGAAGAACTCTGGAAAGTACCATTCAAATAATTGGGGGCGTGGGTGAATTTACTGTGCATTGAACCTAGGACCTCATACAAGATAAGCAAGCACCCTACCAGTGAGCTTCATCTTCAGCCCCTCATAATTTGTAGTTCAGTAATTAGCTAATCTACATTAACCATCCAGGCAATAGCTTGTCTTTTATACTTTGTCAAATCTAGGCATCCTCTACTCTTCTCGTGTACATCAATATGCCCAGCCTGCCCAGACTTCAAATTACTCCATCCTTTCCAGTTACTCAAATGAGCCCCAAGAAACTAGCAGTGGTTGTTGTGGTAGAGGTAGGTGGTGGGGTTCGTTTTGAAGCAGTGTCTTTTGTACCCAGGCTGACCTTCTGATGTTCTTCCCTCTGCCTGGAATTACAGGCATGTGTGCTCGTATCCTATGTAGAAACTCTGCTCTCTTTAGGAATATGTCATGGTTGCCACTCTGTGGGTGTGGGATGAGCTGCAGGTATTACCCTACTGACTCTTACAAAATGCTTTCAACAAAGCCAATACATTCTTCCTAAATATCCCACGTTTTGAGAATTCTTTATAAGCTGTGTCGTCTACACAATTTACTTCGTTGATGGGTTTGTAAAAGAACGTGATAGGTCAGTTAACATTTTAGTAAACATGAAGCATTTACTCTTACCCCCTTTCAGAAATGGGAGAAACAAGAAACAGGAAAGTGTTCTTTCGGTCATACAAATATGAACCTAAAATTGAACTTTTTTTTAACTTTAAAGATATTTTTATAGGTGTGTGTGAATGCATGCTAGTATCCATGGAAGTATCAGATACTCTAGAGTTGGGGCTTGTGAGCTATCCAGCATGGATGTTAGGACTCAAACTTGGATCTTTTTTGAAAAGAAATAAGTACTCGTTTGTTTGTTTGGTTGGTTTTTCTAGACAGGGTTTCTCTGTGTATCCCTGGCTGTCCTGGAACTCACTTTGTAGACCAGGCTGGCCTTGAAATCACAGGGATTCGCCTGCTTCTGCCTCCTGAGTGCTGGGATTAGAGGTGTGTGCCACCATTGCCTTGGCATGCAACAAGTACTTTAATGCAGACCCATAAATGAGATTTGATTGTAAAGAATTTGCTGTTTGTGGCTGGGCTCTTTCGCTATAATCCTAACGCTGTGATTTCACACAGATGTCGCTGCATGTAGACAATGAAGCGTCAATCAATCAGACCACACTGAAGCTGAGTACCAGGAGCCCTATGGAAGAGGAGGAGGAGGAAGAGGAGGAAGAAGAATCTGATTCTTAAGGGGGGACAAGGGCTAGGGTTAGTTATACAAGCTAAACTAAGTCTTGTGTATGTCATCTCTTCAAAGTTGTCTTGCAGGGCCTGTGTGAAAGATAGATTTATAAATGGAGGAGACTCAGTTGATAAAGTATCTACATGCGAATATGAAGACCTGAGCTTGGAGCCTCAGAATCTGTAAAAACCTAGGCAGAGTGTCACATGTCTGTAACCCCAGCACAGGGGATAGGAAGACCAACAGATCCCTGAAGCACACTGGCCATCCCGTCTAGCCAAACCAGTGAGTTTCGGGTTCACTCAGAGACCCCCGTCTAAAAAGAACAGTGATAATGGGCATAGAGGCACACATCTCAATCCCAGCATGCATGAAAATTGCAAGCTGCAAAAAAAAAAAAAATTTTTTTTCTGCTGAGATATATTAATCAGTCCAATTTCACTACCAGAGGAATGGTGAGAAGTAGATAGCATCTGATTGTTACGTAAAAGATCATAGTAAGATACAGAGTTTTAGCTAATTTAGGCATTTACACCCAGACTTCGGAATGCTCTAGCAAGAATTGTTGCCATCCACCGTGAAACCAACCTGGACTATAAACAAAACCAAGCACAATGCAAGGTCTTAGCATGGGTTACTCACTAGCGTGTTAGGCTACTTGAGATCAACTAGACACTATTCCGTCTCTTTTCTGAAAAAGGCAAACACTATACAGATTGACCTAATTTCAGTCATTACCGGGGTAGTCAGTCACATGGGATGTGACAAGAGAAGCAGAGGCAGGATATCAAGCCAGTGTGATGGTCCATACAGCAAGTTCTAGGACAGTCAGGACTACATAGAGAGAACCTGTCTCAAAAAATACACAGAAAAAACTACCAACAACTTCTGGCCATCAACACACATCAAGCACACCATATATTCACCAATGCTGACAACTCCCTACACAATATATACGCTGGTTTTGTATAAGGTGTTCTCTCAAGAAACCAAGGAATACCAATGAGATGGCCTTTTTATTTTGTGTGTGTGCATATGTATGTGTGGACATGTGTACCACTGTGCATATGGAGGTCAGTCGACTATTTACGGAAGTTGGCTCCTCTTCCACCATGTGAGTTCCAAGGATTGTACTCAGGTTGTCAGGCTTGGCAACAAGCCCAGAGAACCATGTCACCTGCACATGACTGCTACTGGTGTTTGAAGGCTATACTCTGCTTGTGTGTGAGCGTGGGTAGCACAACAGTATTCTTAGGAATAAGAATATTCCTAGGCTCCTCTGCATCTTGTTTTTCTGACTTCACAACCACCTCAAAGCATGACAAAGCCATCACTGAGAGTATGTCTCTCTTCTGGAAGGTGTAATTAATTCTAACAGTGAGGGAGACCATTCCCCAGCATAGTACAGCAGACTGACCAGACCAGGGTGAAGGCTCTCACACCAGCAAAGAACTCTTGAGAGCATGGCTGTTAGAATGGCAGGCAGGCCCTGCTACGTGAAATAAGGAATGTTCCATGAGAAATAGCTATGACTTTACTCAGAGAGGTTCCCAACACCACTGTGCTAGCTAGGTTTAGGTCAGCTTGACAAAGTCATCTGAGAGGAGGAATTCTCAACTGAGAAACTGCCTCTTTAAGACTGGGCTTTAGGCAAGTCTCTGGCATTTTCTTATTGAGGTGGGAGGGTGGACCTAGGTGCTATACTTAAAACCAGTAAGCAGCATTCCTTCATTACCTTTTGCATGAGTTTCTAGGTTTGCTATGTTTGAATGCCTGCCTTGGTTTACTTCAGCAGATATGTAAACCAGATAATCCCTTTTCTCCCAAAGTTGCTCTGGCAAGGATGTTTTGTCACAGTAATAGAAACCTTAAGACGCCCACCTACAGTTTTCCCCTTGTGTAAAGAGACTACTCATTCACAGGTCCTAGGAAGGTGATAGGAATCACTGTTAAGTTGCACACGAGAAGAGTTGGTACAAGACTGAAGTTGCAGGAGGCCCCTAAGCCCACTTGTACAGATATGGTCAGTGTATGCTCTTTGCCTAGTTTTTTGTTTTTATTTCTTTCAAGACAAGGTCTCTTCACACACACCTGGCTGTCCTAGAATTCACTATATAGATAGACCAGGCTCAAACTCAGATCCACCCGATCTTGCCTCCGAAGGACTGGGATTGAAGTCGAGTATGCTCTTGCTCATGGTATTTCTGGCTAGTGTTTATGTCGACACAAGCTAGAGTAATTTCAGGAGAAAGAAGCTCAGTTGGGAAATTGCCCCCATCAGATTGGCCCGTGGGCAAGCTTGTGCATTTCCTCAAAAGTGATTGATGTGGGAGGGCCCAGCCTACAGGGCAGTGTTGCCCCTGGGCGGTTTAAGAAAGGTTCAGCAAACAGGGTTCCTCCATGGCCGCCTGCTTCAGTTTCTGCCTCTAGGTTCCTGTTGTTCCCTGGATGGGGGACTGACTACAAGCCATAAGCTGAAGTAAGTGCCTTCCTCTCTGCTTTTGGTCAGAGTGTTCGTATGAGCAACAGAAACCTTCGTAAGACAATATAATATTTATGTCTTGCAGCTGTGTTCCTGTTTTGACTTTGCCCTACCTTAGTTACTGGCTAAATCATTCTTAGGATATTCATTGCTGTGAAGAGACATGGCAACTCTTGTGAGAGAAGACATTTAATTGGGGCTGGCTTACAGTTTTAGAGGTTTAGTCCATTATGGTGGGAAGCATGGCATCGTGCAGGCAGACATGATGCTGAAGGAGCCAAGAGTTGTACAGCTTGGTCCAGAGGCTGTGTTCTATACGGGGCATAACCTGGGCATATGAGAGACCTCAAAGCTGACCCCACAACGGCATACTCCCTCCAACAAGTGCTACTCCCTATGGGCCAAGCGTTCAAACACATGAGTCTATGGCTGCCACAAAAACAGAAATATTTTTTGTCCTTTTTATTTTAACTTTGATAGTTTTATTAGAATAAGAGATTAGATTTGATAAACATCTTGATTAAAATGGTTAAAAGGGTTTCATACAATCTGTAGGCACTATACACGTTGTTTACAATAGCGTTGGTACTTAGACTGGAAGAAAGATAGAACTCTTGATACACTGATGCTTTAACCCACTTGTGACATTCAAAATAACCACCAATTTAGAAACACTAATCCAAACTTAGAGACATACACCACTAAGTATCCCACACAGTATATTTAAAAATAAATATAGAAATACAACCAGAAATCTAAAAATTACCACAGTAGACAGACTGAAGCCCCAGCTATCATGGCAGTGATGGGCTTTGGTTCGATTCTTTTTGATGGGAATTGCTGAGTTCTATACCAAAAGCAAAAAATAAAAATACCATGATGGACACGTTCTGATGCTCATTTCAGTAGCAGCAAAGCATGCTTTCCATGCATGCACTGCCTGTGAAGGGTCTCACAGGCTCCCTCTCCTCAGACTGAGAGGTCACCAGCAAGAGTGAAGTACCAAGGGTCCGAGTATCCTGACAATACAGGCAGCCAGCTAGTGAGTCACAATGAACAGCAGTGCAAACATCAGTAAGAATGACCACCCAGCTCACCAGGGTTTCACTGTAGTTCAGCCTGGCATGTGTTTGATGAACATACAAATAGCCCCAAGCACAAAGCCAATCCACTTAGGGAGTAACCATAGTGATAGACACAATGTTACTAAAAATGACACAAGTACATTTGGCACATGCTGTGTTCTTCATCCTTCATCACAGATGAGATGCACGTCTGAACATAGACAAGCACGGGAGAGGCCTGAAAGCGACATGGCATGCCACTGGGCAGAGGGTTCCTCTCTGCTGCTTCCCAAAGGCTCAGATGCTGGCAGCGTGGGTTGGTGTGCTGGGCTGGTTAAGCCCAATGGTGGAGCAGAGCCAGCCTGCGAAGTCTACCTCCTCAGCATCAGATCTTTTGATGAAAGCATGTACCTGTCCAAGAAACAAAACGAAATGCTGTTAAAAATGACCAGGAAGGAAAAGCAAGGTGGCCTGGGCACCACTCAGAAGATGCCTCTAATGCTCACCCTTGAGCAGCAAGTAGGCCAGCTGCAGCCCAAAGACCCCTTCTGCCATACATATAAGCTGTGAGGCCCTGGAGCAACTTGTTAGAAGGTACACTACACCCAGGGCTACACAGGGCATGAAGTAGTCTGGATCTTACAGTATCACAAGCATGTGTCACTGCCATCAAACTAGAACCAGTTGGAGAGTAACTCAGGATACTGGACATCTGAGGTGGTGAATAGGTCAAAAATGGGGGTGGGGGGAGGAGACAGACAACATCCTCAGGAAAGGTGTGAGCTGGTCCCTCCCTGACTGCTTCCCAGGTGCCCTGTAACTCCCAGGAGGACAAAGGAGATGGATGCCTGGCACTGTGAAGTCCCAAACCTGACTGAAGTATGAGAAGTAGGAAAGATGGACAGACGGGCTCTGTAAGACCCACCATGAGCTGCTTCAGGTCTGCTCTCTCTGCAGGGTTCTTTATTAAGCTGAAAAGAAGATAAAGAATGTTAGGAGTGCTACTCCCCAGTCACATTGCTTATGTTTGTGTGCCTGCCTCTTATGAAGGCCAAGGGCCAGTGCCTGAACCTCGCTCCTCCTCCATTACAGGCACACCATCATTACAGCTAAACATGCAAGAGTCTTGCTGAGTTAAATCAAGGTCAGAAAGCAACAAGATGGTCCCTGAAGTTAGGGGAGAGTAGCACCCAGGATCAGACAATCTGAAGTCCCAGCATCACAAGGGGTATGGCAGTCAGTAGTCAGGGTTAACCAAGAGGGTATAGGGTAAGGCTGGGGGGTCTTAGAACATGGCACAAACTTACCATTTATTCACAAAATCCTGAAATTCCAGACTGAATACTCCACTGGGCAGTTTTGGAGGAGGCTGCAAACATGTGAACATGTGAGATACTCTTGATTCCTTCTCTATCACCTCCCGGTCCCACTGCTGCCCTCATCAGTTCCAGGAAAGTAGCCTTGGGAACTCTAGCTCCTCCTGGCTCACCTTGTTGGGACCACTTCAAGTATTCTACCACTCTGTGACAGAATAAACCATGTTCCCCTCAGCCTGTTCACTCTCCTATACAAGGCTGTGTTTTAGCTCTGGAACCCTCTGTAGGTACTTAGATGTAGAGTAAGTGTAGTTTGAGTGCTGGCTGGCCTAGAGGTGCCACTAGCAGTTACCAAGAGCAGAAGCTCCAGGGATGTCCAAACCTGGAGGCACCACTGGCGCCTGACTCTACTCCCAGACACCACAAAACCCCCTTTCTGAACCCTGGAGAGCCAAAGGTTAGTAAAACAGAGGCTGAGTGTGGATGAACGAGGACCCTGAGGATAGCTCTGGGAAATCTGTCAGTTCACACGGCCTGTGCCAGGAGCTTTCTTGGGAGGAGCAGTACTCGAGAAGACCTAAGATGTCACTGCTCTAAGGAGTTACCAGCCCAAGCATTCCAGAGGTCGATGGATCTCTGAGTTCTAGGCCAGCCTGGTCTACAGTGAGTTCCAACCAGGCCTTGACTCAGTAAGAAAAAAAGAGAAAGAAAAGACAGACCAGTTGGGTGGTGCCTGCAGAAGCACTAGTCTCAGCACTTGGGGAGGCTGAGGCATGTGAGACTAATCCACGAAACATAATGAGCCCCTATCTAGAACAAATGGGACAAGCACTGGCTCTGCAGGAATAATGGCTCAGCTCAGTAGTAGGGCTTCCACAGCATGCTGGTGGCATAGGCTTGAGTCCCAGCACTGCAGAAACAACAAAATACAAGCCCCTTACTAAAAAGCCCAGCAAGCCCTCCCTCTCACCCTCAAGGCTGTGTTGAGGTCAGCTGCAACCCAGATTGTAGAACGGTAGCCCAGTCTTGTAGGACAAGCCTCAACCTGCAAACTCTCCCAGCTGCTGAGAAGGTTGTATGGAATATTCAAGAGAAAACAGCTGGCTTCCAGAGGCCAGTGTCTGTTCCTCCTGAGCAGGAAGGG